AAATGTCCAAGGGGGGCGGTGACTAGTAATAAGGGGGGCGGTGAATAGTAATGCCCTAAATATTTGATCATATTAGATCAGTTGGGATTCACAACGATTTTATTGTTTTCTAATTCAACATTATAGATAAATTTAACTAGTGCGTGGCTAGTGCGATACACGAGAAAACAACATTACAATTGTGTTGTAATTTGTAAATTAAATATACAAATAAATTAATCAAGAGTTACACATCGTTTTTAAATTAAACCGTGTCCAGTCCGACTAGATGACCGAGAACTGATTTATAACCAGTCTAGTTCGCTTGAATAAAATATTTGTTATTGAATCCATCAGCACCAGTCGGTTGAACTGATAGGATCGATACGATTTTCTAAATAAATTTTACTAATATTTAAAATTATTTTAAATAAAATTACATATTTAAATAAAATAGAGATTTATGAATTGTTTATCAATTAGTTTAAATATTTGAATTTTTAAATTGTTTAGATATTTAAGTAACACATTTTATTTAAATTTATTAAAATAAGTACTATATATAAGCATATTTTCAAAGAAAAAATTAAATTGTATGATTTTTTAAAATTAAATTGTGTGGTTAAATTGCATGATTATATTAAAGCATATTTATAAATTTAATTGTATGATTTTTAAAGAAAAATAAGAAAAATAATAAAACTACTATAAATGGGTTGCATTCGATGCTGACATTTTTTACTATTATTTTTGGTAAATAGGTTCTCTCTTTATATATACTAGTACGGTAACCTCGTGCGATGCACAGGCTGTATTTGTTTTGGTAATATTTATAATTAAAGGCTAATATTAATCAATAAGTTAAAATATCGTAGAGCATTTGTCAGGTAATCATAAAAATGTTCATCATGAAAAAGTCATACATTATTAAAATTCTTCTTGTTTTTCCATGCAAAATTATTTTGTACTTGACAACTGTAGATCGATATTTATAGTCATTGCTAATTGCATAGACACCTCATTTCTCTAATTATTTGTTGATTTTCGGATTGTTAACACCACGAAATAAAATTATAATATTATTATATAACTCTGGCGATTTAATGAGAGTAGGACTTTCACGATTAATTATTTGTGCTAACAATATTTATATCTACCATGTAAAATTTATAATTTTGTAAATTAATGTGTAATATTTGTAAATATTTGACATGCGTCATATTTACGTGCATTTTATAGTGATTTTCGTGTTCGTTTCGTCGTAGTTTGATTTATAATTGGTTATTATTTAATTAATTATTTTATAATTAATTATATATTTAATTAATTCTATTAAGCTATGATAAAGTGTTTTATTTGAGTT